CTGCTTTAGGGCATATTGTTATTCCAGCAGTGCGTCACTAGAGGTGTGTGGACTGCTCCAGGTGAGACTTCAATAGGGTGACACCATAGTTTTTCAAACACCTACTCTTGGCAGAAATGAGCTGTGGCACCTATTTCCCTTTAAAATGCTTTAAGGGATGGTGGGAGTGGGGTGAAGCTCAGTGGGAGGAGAAAGGGGGTATCAGAATTTTTTAAAATTATTATTGCAAATTGCAAATTTTTAATTTTTAAAAAAATATTTTTACAATTTGATTTTTTTAAAACAAATATCAGCAGCACTTTTACACAGAGATTATAATATTTAATATTTGTATTAGCGTTTTTAGCTTTTATTTTGGAATGTCTTACATTGTATTGTGCCTTGTCCTCCTTTGTGGTTACAACATCTGGTCACCAGTGTCCTATTTTGTACTCTTTTTTAGGGACAGATGATCATTTCCTTATTTTATGGTCACTTTAAAATGTATACATTTTCATTACAAAGGCAGGGGAAGGCTACATTTTATATGCATATGAAAGACTTTTACTTTTATTTAATCGCAGGAGGATGAAGTTAGCTTTCCTCAGTCTGATTATTTGTAAAACAAACAAACAAACAAATGAAGCAAAGGATTCCATTTGATTCTATGTTTCTTTTGTCTTTCTTTATACTCAGAGTAGCAAAAAGAAACATAGAGAGGGGTATGACAGACTCCAATACAAAGATTTCCTTTTTATCGAGTCCTTAAAAATTGCTAAAAAGGGAGAAACATATGGAAATAGGCAACGGGAAGCACACATCAGATAAACACAGGAAGTAATTATTCAGCAGGAAAGGTTGCAGGAAATGGGTTGTTTTTCTTTCTTCACTGGTGTTCTTTCAGTCTTAGGACATCAGCCGTGATGAAGGAAATAGGTTTGCAATTGCAGGGAAGCTATTATTTATATAGTGCTAACATCAGATGTCACTCATATAGTATTTACATTGTCTAAGTAATCAAATATGCCACTAAATTGGATTGTACTCCATTTCCTAAAGCTGTCAAAAAATAGGTTCAAAAAATACCCCTTGTGTCAAAGAAGGGGAAAAAATCCACCTGGTTGAAACACTTCAGGGGAGATATTTCTGGATGCAAACTTGATATTGTAAAGGGACATCCATAGAAGAAATCTCCTGTGTAATAGAAAATGTAAGAACTGGTATCATGAACACATGTTGATTATAACCCTTCTTATATGAGGGCTGAAGGCAACTTATATGCTATTTCATGCAATTTGTCTTCACATCTTGTCCTCAGGTGAGTTTGCAGGTAGATATATGACCTCAAAACTTTTCAGTGACTAGAATTTTGGACTGACTATGAATTAGCCCAATTCTCTTGGGTTATCAAACTGATTTGAGAATACATAAAACAGTGATCCTTTTTTTGGACCAACCAAAATGCACTCTGTACATATTGCAAGCTTTTGAAGCTCCACTGGCTTCTTCATTGGGCAAATGTGTTCAAAATCATACGGGCAGGGGGAGGAATGTACAGTTGGCCCTCCACATTTGCCGATTTGATTATTTGTGGTTTTGATTAATATGTTCTCTTTAGGAATCTTTTACATATTGTTATTGATAACTGCCCTCAAGTCAATCTCGACCCATGGCAAACCTATGGATGAGACATCTCCAAAATCCTCTGTCCTCCACTGCTCTGCTTAATTCCTGCTCTACCAGGTCCTAATCCTGCCCTGCTAAATCCCAGCCCTGTCCTCCCAGCCCCAGAGGAGGAAGAGCAGCCAGGTCCTAGCACTAGTAGGATCCCTATGGAGGCACAGCAACCTAGTGGTAAGGATCAGGAAGAAACAAGTGTGGAAGTGCCTTCCTTCAGACAACGCAGGGCAGAGAGTACTTGCGTGTGTTGGTCAAGGAGGCTTGCAGAGAGGCAGTTGACTAACAAGCCTCAGCTGGCACAGAGGAGGGAATCTCCTACTTAATCACCTGGGAGAGGACCACTCAGTGTCAGAGCTTATTGCAGTTTTCTTGTGTGGTTACTGTCAGCACTGGCTCCTTGCTCTCTGGAACTCTTGTGTGCCGTGAACCTTTGACTTCAGAACGAACTGGATGCTTGTTACCTTCTGGCTGCCCTGACCTTGGACTGAACTGACTACTGTGTACTCTGGAATCCTGACCCTGGCTTTGGTACTGGTGTGCTTCTTGGGAACTAACAGAAAGGTCTGTAGCCTGCCTTTTAGTTCCTTTCTTGCTAAACCATTCTTATCAGTGTTTGTTTGGACTGGTGTTGGCTGTAGTCCAGGACAGCTCAATGTCTCAGAAAAAACCACATTTCCCATGATTCCCTAGCACTGAGCCAGGACAGTTAAAGATATTTCAAGCTGCATTAATTCTGGCAGTCTGTAAAGGCCCTTTATGTTCAACATTAAGCCTGCCTTTGCACTTTCTTCTTTGATCTTCCTTAGTAGGTGTTCCAGGTCTGTGAGGTTTTCTGCTAGTACTATGGTGTCATCTGCATATCTTAGATTGTTGATATTCCTTCCTCCTATTTTCACTCCTCCTCCTTCTGTGTCCAAGCCTGCTTTTCTTATAATATGTTCTGCATACAAGTTAAACAGATAGGGTGAAAGGATTCAGCCTTGCCTGACCCCTTTGCCAACTGGGAACCATTCTGATTCTCTGTGTTCTTTTCTGACAGTAGCCTCTTGTCCTGAGTACAGATTCCTCAACAGGACTATCATCTGTGTTGGCACTCCCATGGTTTTAAGGGCATTCCATAGCCTTTCATGGTCTATGCAATCACAGGCTCTGCTATAGTCTATAAGGCACATGATGCTTTTCTTTTAGAATTCCCTGCTGTGCTCCATTAGTCATCGTATGTTTACAATGTGGTCCCTAGTGCCTCTTCCTTTCCTGAACCCCACTTGGACCCCTGGGATTTCTCTCCATGTATGGTTGCAGTCTATGTTGCATAATTTTGAGCATGATATTTTTTGTGTGGGAGATCAGTGCTGTGATCCTATATTGCCGCAGTCTCTTGTATCTCCCTTATTGTGGATGGGGATGTATTTTGATCACTTCCAAGCTGTTGGCCATCATTTTGTTTTCCATATCTGTTGACATATGTTGGTTAGCACTAGAGTTGATTCTGTCAATGTGGATTGCAGAAGTTCAATTGGAATATCATCTGTTTCTGGTGATTTGTTTTGTGCTATTTCTCTTTTTGCAGTTTCCATCTCAGTTTTCAGAATCTGGGGTTCATCTTCATATGGGTCTCCATTCCATGTGTCCTTCATTTTGTCATTTCTTTTATATAATTCTTCTGTGTATTGCATCCAATGTGCATTTACATCCTTCAGCACAGCTCTTCTGGAAGACCATAGAGTTCTGCTGGAGAACATAGAGGTTTCCAGAGAAAACACTCCTCTGGCCATTGGTAGGTCCTCCAGCATACTATTATCAGCTTCTGGCAGATGTTGACCATAAACTTGC